TTATCAATAGTGTTCTAACATCGATCGATTCATGACCTCAATAAACAGCATCAATCTCCACTACCCCTATGGTGAACTTATCACAACAGACATGAAATAATGGAGTTTGAAATAAAAGAGATGAATATAATTGATAAAGATTAAGAAATTTTGTTGAAGGAAAACCTAAGAGAAGATGAATAATAGGTACCGTTAATCTACTGTGGTCGATTGTGAATTATGTCACCTAATATATCTAGCAATTGGTCACTGTTGTTATCTCGTGAATCTCCACTAAATAGTCTCAGTTTAATAAGCAATGATTTTATGGTTTATGTGCCACCTAGTTTTCTTTCAATATGTTTCTACTTCTATGAGATTACTGATACACTTGACTAATGACTGAAAATAAATGAGATATCTGACAGTGGTAATTTTTATCGATCGATCGATTAAGCTAAGATTCTTCATTTAGACTTCCTGGCTTTGTTATGCCTCTATGTAACGTGTAAATAGTGCTAAACAGGGACAATGATTTACACATAATATTCAATTCATAAGTAAATAATTTTACTTCTCCGTCACTCCGAAGATAAGAATACACAGTATAATTATTTTGTGAAAATTTTCTATTACACAATCAAAGATGCTTTACATTTTAGAAATTACGTAATGCGTTACTAAATAAACACTAAACAGTGTTTAAATTTAAATGTTACACTTCTAGATATCAGGACTAAAGCTGGTAACACAGAGATTCTAATTGTTTCTCCCGAATTCAAATTAAATTTACTGGGCTATGCAACGTGTATCTAGAGAACGTTTCAATAGAATGACCTTATAATCTACTTTCTGATTGGTCAGTTTGAAAATGATAATCGGGCCATAGTAAGATGGGAATATAATTAGCATGTGATTGGTTAAAAATGAAAGCCTATCGAATTTTTTTGTAAGATCAAAAATTTTTCACTCTTCTGACACTATGACGAACAATTGCAATATAAATTCACTTGTAAACACTGGAACTACTACAGAACGTTGGTCACATCTGTTGATATCAATAGGGTGACCATATCTATTTATTATTATATAGACTGGAAGCAAACAGTCTGATACAAATATACACACAATATATATCTACTTAGTTTTATTGAAAGAAATTCTTAACTGATGGGGCATACTGATACATTCGAAGGAAGATTGGAACGGAGACAGCGTTTACTTGCTGATAAAATTCGACTAACTTCCTGTCCTTTGATTCGAGCATGTTTGGCGGAATTTTGTGGCACTGCAATTTTAATGATATTTGGTTCTGGTGTATTGGCCCAAACAATGTTGGGTGATCATAAGAACAAAGCTCATGGTGGATTCTTGTCAGTTAGTTTGGGCTGGGGATTCGCAGTCTATATGGGTGTTATTTTCTCCGGTTGCGGTGGTTCTGGACATGTTAACCCAGCTATTACTTTAGCATTTTCAATAATTGGAAAATTCCCGCTTAGACGTGTTCCATTTTATACAATTAGCCAAATTTTGGGAGCTTTTGTAGGCTCCCTTGTTATATATGGCGTTTATTGTGAGAAGATATATGAATATGCTGACCTGCATGATAATGGAAGTTTCCTAGTGAAGTCAACAGGTGGTATATTTGTCACGAATCCTTCAGCATCTCATATAACATGTTTCCTTGATCAAGTTCTCGGCACAGCATTGTTGGCAGCAGGAGCGTTAGCTATTAGTGATAAGAATGGATGGAAACTTCCAAACTACCTACATCCACTACATTTCGCATTTCTAGTTTATGCCCTTGTTGGCTGTTTCGCATTGAATGCTGGAGCTGCTTTAAATCCAGCTCGTGATTTGGGACCTCGACTAATGATAATGATGTTCGGTAAGTTTTGACATTGTTGCTATATTTATCATCGATACTACTAACTTGTAATCTCATTAATATTACTACTTACAAAGTGTGTGAAACAGTGGCTAACAATATTTTTGTTGACTTACTGTAAGAATCTTCATATGTTTATTTGATAAATATGAACTAAAGGTTTGGATGTGTCATGTAAAAACAGTTTTTAATACTCCGTCGCCTAAAGTGAGTTTTAGCAGGTAAACCGAAGCATCTGGCTTCAATGTTTGTCTAATATTAATCGCTTCATGTTTTCTATGTAACAATATCCATAAATCAAATGAAATTTAAAAAAAATTTGAACCAAAATAAACCATAACCGCGTGCGCGCGCGCTCAAGCTACTATATTGTACCGAACGATGATAACTATTTGATTCAAATAAACAATGACTCTTAGTTTAAAACGAGAGAGAGAGAGAGAGGGGGAGAGTATTCTGCACTTTAAGAACACTGATAAACTAACCAGTAATACAACTAAAACCAATTCACTCGATAATACTCCACATGGTATACACAGAAATATGCAATATGTGATAGTTGTAGAAAATACAAAGAAGTACAACTGAAATCATCGTGGTTTTAATCGATGAAAATATGATAACAGGTCCGTAGTATTTATTATAGCTCTGAAATGATTTTTGTAGGAAATAATAATAATCTTTATTATTATCGCTATTACTATTTTTTTTATTACCATTATTATTATAATTGATGGTACCACAACCGAAAGAGAGAGAGGAATAATGAGTGTAGGCGGTTAGGTAGGCGAGTGTAGACTGTAAAATTTCACGGTAACTTTAACTGTTCCGTTTTAAGCAATTTATTTTAATGGTAAATAGTATACTAGACTAATTTTCAATGGATTGTAAACATTTTTTTATTGATGTCTAATCAACTATTTTTTTCTTCTTTGTTGATCATGAATTGAATTTATCTTCTTTGTTTCATGTTTATGACTGATTATTCGTTTTATTGTCAATCAAAGTTATGGAGATTAGTGTTATTTTCTTTTAAACATTTCAAATCATCAATCAGTGATTGTTAGATCACTAGTAGAAACCTGGAAGCACTGAATGATGGCCGTTTCGTCCTAGTATGGGACTCATCAGTGGTAGTGCACATCCACACTTTAACCAAAACATATGCCACACTATCATTATAGGTTTGTCGGGATGATTGAGTTTTCGCCTCTGTTTGGAAATATCACATTTTACTCATCTAATTTAACCGGGTGATTTCCTTGTGTCGATAGTAGTAATCATTATAATAATTTGTGGTGAGAGAATTCGTGTTGTTACTGGAATCAAATCCAAATGAGTTGAATTTTTTTGGTTTACAATTGAGAAGAGATCAAATTTCTGTTGGTTTTTTTTGATTTCTTGTTCACTCTGACTAAGTATAAAGTTTTAATAATAATTATTCGACAGTTTACACTTTTTGCCGAATTTGAAATATGATATTTTAAATGTTTATTCGCGTCAGTCAGTCAGTCAGTCAGTTACAACCTACAACTTCGTATGTAAGTACATCAGTTCAAGCTGCCATACCACATCAGCAATTCAAATACCATAGTCGTAGAGGTAGTACAAGTATTAGCAGTCATCAAAAAGATTAATGATCGAATATATAATTCGAGATGTATACCCCAGAGGAATCAATTCAAAAAAGGAAAAAAACAGTCTTGAGGAATTCAGAAGATTAGAATTTCAGAGAACACAAAGAATGGATGCACGTGTGTCATCACAAACGGTTTTAAGGCATAATATCTTTCAGGGTCTTTAACTATCGATTACTATCATGTTGCAGACCCCAACCAGGTAGTTGACATTTACCAACATGACTGAATCCAGTTGTCAGTGATGCAGTAGTCCCCAATGCTTATATGTTATTTAAAAATTGATTTGATTAAGCTCATACAACAATCCCATTGAACAGAAATTCACAACTTTCATTGTTTTAAATCACGAATCGACTTACGTTAAACATTGACGGGAACATAGGAAGCACTGGACCACTGTTTAATCCTAACAGGTAACTCGTCGATTCTCAGTGAGCATACATAATCTCACCACAAACGGTTAAACCCAGGACTTTGGACTTCTTACGGATGAACGCTTAGCCTCTGGACCACTGGGTCAGGAGTCCAGTGTGGTTTAACTAAAAGTAATTTTAGATATTTTATGCTACCGTTACCAACATTAAAGAATTTATTGATATGTGATCATCAGCAATAGACAGGATATAAATGCAATATCTCCTTACTAATAATCACTGTTCAGTTTATTATTGGAATTATTTCAATGATATCACTGAAATATTCTTTGTTCTCCAAAGTTATGATGGAAATATTTAAATTATACATTAGTTACTTGAATCATCTGTCATTGGTCTGATCACAGAGATTACTGCTGTACATTACCACACAGTATTTACTTACTAACTTACTTGCTTACTTACGCCTCTTACCCCGAATGGAATATGATTATCCACCGACTAGCATTCTCTAACCTACTCTGTCATAAGCCACTTTCGGTTTTTCACAATCTCTAGACACTCCATGTACCTTTAATAACGGTTGTCCTGGTTGTTAGAAGTGGCATCATCAGCCTTGTGACTTTCGAAGAAATTTGTCTTTCATTGTGAGATATCATAATTCTTCTAAATGGAAATCTATTAGGGAAGAATTTAAATGGAATGAATTCTCTTTTTCTGGTTAGCGTGTGTTTTAGCGAGTGGTCGCTAACCTCATGACCAACTCTTGTCATTTATTCAGGCTTATGATTGGTAGTAACTTTAGAATGCTTTCAAACGGAGTTACACAGTATTTAACTATCCTGTAACATTCTTGATTCATCTACTGTTAGGAAGTGTAAAATGTGAATATAATTGTAAAAGATTGGTAGAAAGATGTATTCACATCACTAACGAAACTTAGACAAAATCACTAAACACAACACACACAACACACAACAGTAAACAATTTGAAATAAATGGCAATTGAGATAGATAAGTAAAATAAACCGATCAAGAGTTCAATTAAAGGGAGTAGCCATTAACAGATACACACAAAAAAAATGAGATTACTTTGTAAAAAAAGATTTATTTACATTCTACTTGATTCATTGAGAATTTTATGTGAAAGATTGAATTTTTTTTAACGTAAATCTGATATGATATTTTTTTTTCTGTCTATGCAAAATTTTCATTCATTATTATGAAATTAATTAATTATTTGCAATGAAATTGAACTTTTACTGATAATGAATAATTTGGAGTTTCGAAAAAAAAATAGGTGAATTATTATTGTATAAAACAGGTTGATAATCATGCCAACCATGAATGATATAAACACACACACATTTAAATGAGGTGAACACATGTAAGTGTGAACATGATAGGTGATAATTAACAAGGTCACAAACCGATATATAGAATACAAAAAAGTCATGATCATGGAGTTAGTTAGACAATAATAGTGTTGGGAGGTCGGTTCAATGGTCAAGAGTTTGAACGTTCGAGCACAAGACTGGAATATTCTGGGTTTGATTCTCACGTATGAGGATGGATGAGGTGGATGCACGTTGTTGATGAGTCTCTACTAGTGCTTCCGGATTTTCAATGGTGGTACAGCTAAGATCGGTTCATCAATTTAATTGATGTTACTCTTATGTCACTAAGCTATTTATCTACACTAACACCAAGTTTTCTGTGGAACTTTAATGAGCTTAATGACCACTGATTCGTTCCACCGATCAAATACAAACCTTTCTCCACACTGTTAAATTGTTGACATCGATTTGGACTGGATCATATCAAGTAATTGTATGGTTGGGGACGATCTTATTGTGTTAACTCCCTCCCCCCCTTAACCATCTTTCAGGATTATTATTATTATTACACAATTTTTATGTATGTACACCTATGCACAAATACTATTATTCTGTTTATTTTAACTCCTAATCTCTTTACTTTGATTTGTTTTTAGGTTGGGGTAGTTCAGCGTTTACTTCAGGAAATTATTTCTTTTGGATACCTATATTAGGTCCATATATTGGTGCAGTGATAGGATCTGTTCTGTATGAATTAACCATTGGTATACATCTTAATCGTGATACATCATCACCATCATCATTATCACCACTGCAAACAAATTCACCGATTGGAGAACAACGTTATGATGTTGACTCATGTGGGAAATCTGGTTCTCACTTGCTAACTCGAGGATTATAACACAACATTGAATGAGATGGGATGGGATTTCTTGACAGAGACAAAAAAGCAAGAAACATTTACACTATATTGTGACTGATCTGTTTCTTCTTCTAATATTAATTACATATTTGATGTTATTTTCTGTTCCTGATTAAAAGTGTTAGTTGGATTGTGTTTTTTCTGTATGTGTACCGTTGAACATGTGCATTTGTTGTGTTGATTTAGTCTCTCTACCATTGAAACCCACCTCCTTTAAAAAAAAATATTTTAACTGTAGTGTTTCTCACTACTCACTCACTCACTCACTCACTCACTACCCAATACAGAACCTTGTTTTCCTACAAATGCTTGTCAATTTTGTGTACACAATCCTTTTTTTATGGAAATAGACTTAGCAACTTCTCAACATCTACCCTATTGGCATCTACTTTACCTAACTATAATTTAGCTTATAAAATATCCTACTACACTATCTATCCTTACCCTTTGTCTGCTCTATTTGTTCAATGTTCATTTCACAGTAATAATAATAATAATAATAATAATAATAATAATAATAATAATAATGATAATAATGCTCTATATTTTGAAAAAAAACATCATTTAACTTTCATACTTTATAAAAATTAGTATGCCCCTTTTCGAGTGTGTTTGGATAGCGAATGCGTGTGTATATGTGTGTGTGTGTATTTGTGTACTTAAGTAAACAACACCAGTTTACTTATTTGTTGTTGCTTTGAGGGAATAATACCGTGCACCTTTTCACCATTTAAACAAATCTTGATTTGTGTGTTTCAATGAAACAAAATGGTGTAAGGGAAAAGAATCTTCGCATGAACATTGTTTCTTTCTTTTTTGGTTCACTAATATCGTTTGTAACATTAGTGTGTATTTTTTTTTCTCAATGGCCGGGATACTACTAATAGTGATTATGGTAGTAGTACTACTAATAAATTACCTATGAATACTGTTTGGATTTTTTTTACAATGATAATATTCATGAAATAAATATGTCATGTTTTTATTCATGGTCATACCCTTTGTTGATTTTATTTTCTCTATTATTAGTTCACATTAGTGTGTTTACCGACAGTATTCCTGATCATCATCATCATCATAATAATAAATTACTTTGAATGTGTCCAGACGTTTTACTCTATGTTCATGTATTATCCAATAAATGATTAACTGTTATGCTCGTCAATGGATGTGCTTGAAATTATTACAAGTTCACGTTAGTGTCAGTAAACGAGAGTGAAGACAAATAACCCAGTGACACGATAGGCTATTCTAATCCGAGCGTCCCAAGGCCTTACTAATTAAAGGAAGAAGTCTTGATATGGTATAGAAAGTGTATTCTATAAGCACCCAGAAAATATGAGGTTTCCAAGCATGCATGATAGAAACGTACTTGAGAGAGCCATAAAAATATAGCATACTAAAATAATACACCAACCAATAACAGTCAAGGATTTTCCTGGTGGGAAATGTAATCTCAATATCAACCGATCAGCCCATGTATGAAAACATATTATCCAAAATTAGTACCTTAATCAAGTGAGTTCTGAGGATCTAACGTCCCCAACATTAACTTCGTTCCTTTTTTTATTGAAAACTGATGAAAAGTGAACAGTTACATTAATGATAGATGTTTCTTCAGGTTGAAGTTGGTGGCAAACTGCAAAAAGTGTATGTATTGACAAAAACTAGATGATGATAGTATCAATTGTATGGTAGTTTTGAAATATCAGGAATGCTTAGTGTAAGAGTTCGTGAAACATGGTTGAGATTTTACGGCTTATAATTAAAGATTGATCTTAATTAAGTGAATGTGAAAAATAGAGAAACGTTAAAAGAGTCAAATATTCGGTGCTAGTACGGGCTACTCAGTGATAGTGTACATCCTATGAATGATGACTTCACTGAGAATTAAGTTCAGAGTATGTATTCGCTGCGAACCCTGAAGTTTATAGTTTGAATGGCGGAAGGGTTGTGGATGCGGGCAGACAATAAAGTGGAGAAGGGGTGTGGGCCAACTAAACGCAATAGGGTATGATAAAGTATTTCTAGTCTTACAAAAATCAGACAGACATGTGACAGGCGAAGAAATCAATGCGCATATCGGCACTCAAGTAAAAACAACCAAGATGTAAGCGAATAATTGACAAGGTCAAGAGACGTGTGATTGGTCACTCAGGCGAGAAGGTCAGTTAGTTTGTCCAAAAGCTAGAACATGCCATGTGGACCCAACATAGTGACTCATAGACTACAAGACAGCTTTCGCTTCAGTGTTTCTTGATTCCCAATGGCTATCTAATCAAGGTCTTAGATTACCTTTAAAAAAATTAGTATATTGATTGTTCTCATTCTGGATATGTTAATAATTTTTTATTAAGTATTTTTGTAGTGAGTGTAATGGTTAGTGGTTTTGGTTATACTAATGATTATGTGGCTTATAAATAATGAAGCTGAGAAGTACCATCCAGAAGTTACTGCTGAAGAGGAGTGTCAAATCCAGACTGAGTGTGATATAATTGATTTCTGACACATATTTTTTTGCTTTTCCGTATGTTTATTTAATAGTCTGAGAATAATCTTCATCGATTTGTTTTACTAAGTGAAATTCACCTGTTTTCTTTAAAATATAACACCAAATCAGCTCACATGGACATTGAGTAACCCACTAGTAGTCTGAATCAACAGCATTCCAAGTAGCCACATCTTCTCTATAGCTAATAGCCGTTCTCTTCTTATGTTGTTATCCAAATCAAAACCAAAAAACACATCACAATTAAATCATTCATCTAACCAAACTGTTATGCTCGTCACTTAATATGCTTGAAACTATTACGGGTTTACCTTAGTCGATAAACGAGAACGAGACAATGAACCAGTGACACGATGGGCTATTCTGATCGGTTGCCCAAAGGAACTAACCAAGAAGTCACAGCAAACACAGTGATCTCAAACACATAAATCGTGTTTATTTATACATCATAGAAACATCCTTGAGAGAGTCACAAAAATAGCACCAATCACAGCCAAGAATTCTCCTAGTGGGAAATGTGATCTCAAGGCCAACCGATCAGCCCATGAATAAAATCCAAAATTAAGACATTTATCAAGCGAGTTCAAAGGATCTAACGTCCCCAACAAAAACTCAACATTATACACTTATGCTATGAGTGGTTACCATTGATTCAAAATCTACATGAGAACATGAATGATGTATGTCGATTCCGCAACAAAGTAATGTTATCTGAAAATCATTTAATGATTTTCTTTGGTTGTATTGTTATTTTAGATACGAGTAGACATAGAAATGTTCGTATTGATTTGATTCTATGTGAAGTCTGTTGAAAGCTTCATAATGAACGAAATTTTATTTGCAATCTACTGATTGAAAAACTAGTAGTATCTGTAAGTATGAGGAGAAGTTTATCAAAAGTTACAATTTAATTGTTTTAATTTATCCGTCCAACAGTGTTAACGTCTAACTTGAAACAATCCAAGTGATTGCTCAACGCACCTAATTATCTTCAGTAGGTAACTGTCCATATATTCAACGTGTTTTGACCTCAAGAATTTTCTCATGTAGCTAATCATTAGTGAACGAATACTTCACTTGAATGTGTAATGTTTAGTCAGAATTTTATTTCAAGCATCTGGAATTATCTGTAAGTATTAGAAAATTACACACTCTGATAGACAACACCTATCTACTAAATGAAATGAACGTTAGGATGACTGAAAGCATATATATATATATATATATATATATTTGCATTACGGGGTTGTGAAGATTGTTAAGTTACACATTTTTGAAACCATGAATCGATTGATGTTAGACCCCTATTAGAAACCAGGTAGCACTGGATGCACACTGCCACTGATGAGTCCCATACCAGGACGAAACGGCCTTCATTCAGTGCTATCAAGTTTCTTCTGATGATGGCCTAACATCGATCGATTCAAGGTTTCAAATATCTATAAATATACAAGTAGACAGTTGTGTGCTTCCACCGAAATTCGATTTAGTCGTCTATGTGATGTAACAGCTTATTAAAAATAAGTCACGTATCATTTTACAGAATCTTTCAACTTAATAAATCAAACATTTACACTACAATTAATTAACCGCAAACAAAACTAATCAGTGAATTCACTGATTGAGCACGATTTTGTGGTGTGAGTGTGTGTGTGTGCGTGTGGGTGGATTTTTAGTGCATGTAGCCTGATAATTGTGTTTTATAGAAAAATAGTGATAGAGACTTATTTGTTCCTTTAAAAATTCTATTTCAAATCTCTTGAATTCAGTTGTATGTAGTAATATTACTTAAATGTATACCTTTCAGAGAAATGTAAATTTTTTTTTCTTACGTAGCGTCATTTTCAATCATGAAAATAAGTTCTGCGAACAAACGAATGAACGAATGAACGAAATCATACTATTCAAACACGATACTTAGATAACATGAAAGAAATGTCAATGTTTGTAGGGGATTTTTTGTTTGGTACGCATAGGTTTTCTTTTTTTGCAATTGTGAAATGATATTTACCTTTAGAAAAAACAAAACAATTAAATCGTCTATAGAGAGAGAGAGAGAGAGAGAGAGAAAAATGCCGTAGCTAGGAAATACATTTTCTCTGTGAAATGATATTAGAGACAATGATCCAAAAAAAGGTTTCTGATGATCTATGAAGAAATGCGAAATAGCATATATATATATATGTATCTTCTTAAAGACAAAGAGAGAGAGAACAATTTTTTGTTTCTGGGTTCTTTGTTTCGTAACAAATTATTTTAGTTGCATCATCAGCTCAGGTTTTTTTAGTGTTCAGTAGAATAAAAGAATTTATAGAAGAATTGTCTTCTTACGTTATACATTTTGACATGAGTTGGCTTTTCATTGAAGCCATGAATTGACCATAGTTAAATCATTATTAGAAACTTGGAAGCACTGGATGGTTGTTTTTCCTAATATAGGAATGTTAAGCAGTGTGTATCCATGATTCCT